CACTAACACACACACACACTAACACACACACACTAACACACACACACTAACACACACACTAACACACACTAACACACACACTAACACACACACTCACACACACTAACACACACCCACTAACACACACACTCACACACACACACTAACACACACACACTAACACACACACTAACACACACACTCACACACACACACTAACACACACACTAACACACACTCACACACACACTAACACACACACACTAACACACACACACACTAACACACACACACACTAACACACACTCACACACACACTAACACACACACACTAACACACACTCATACACACTCCCACACACACTAACACATACTCACACACAAACTAACACACACTAACACACACACACTAACACACACACTAACACACTAACACACACACTAACACACACACTCACACACACACTAACACACACTCACACACACACTAACACACACACACACACTAACACACTAACACACACACTAACACACACACTAACACACTAACACACACACTAACAGACACTCACACACACTAACACACACACACTAACACACACACACTAACACACACTAACACACACACACTAACACACACTCACACACACTAACACACACACACTAACACACACACACACTAACACACACACTAACACACACACACACTCACACACACTAACACACACACACTAACACACACACACTAACACACACTAACACACACACACTAACACACACACTAACACACACACTAACACACACACACTAACACACACACACTAACACACACACTCACACACACACTAACACACTAACACACACACTAACACACACTAACACACACACACTAACACACACTAACACACACACTAACACACACACTAACACACACACACTCACACACACACTAACACACACACACTAACACACACACTAACACACACACTCACACACACACACTAACACACACACTAACACACACTCACACACACACTAACACACACACACTAACACACACACACACTAACACACACACACTAACACACACTCACACACACACTAACACACACACACTAACACACACTCATACACACTCCCACACACACTAACACATACTCACACACAAACTAACACACACTAACACACACACACTCACACACTAACACACACTAACACACTAACACACACACTAACACACACACTAACACACACACTCACACACACACTAACACACACACACACTAACACACTAACACACACACTAACACACACACTAACACACTAACACACACACTAACAGACACTCACACACACTAACACACACACTAACACACACACACTAACACACACTAACACACACACACACTAACACACACTCACACACACTAACACACACACACTAACACACACACACTAACACACACACACTAACACACACACACTCACACACACTAACACACACACACTAAAACACACACACTAACACACACTAACACACACACACTAACACACACACTAACACACACACTAACACACACACACACTAACACACACACACTAACACACACACTCACACACACACTAACACACTAACACACACACTAACACACACTAACACACACACTAACACACACTAACACACACACACTAACACACACACTAACACACACACACTAACACACACTCACACACACACACTAACACACTAACACACACACTCACACACACTAACACACACTAACACACACACACGCTAACACACACACTAACACACACACTAACACACACACACTAACACACACTCACACACACACTAACACACTAACACACACACTCACACACACTAACACACACTAACACACACACACTAACACACACACTAACACACACTAACACACACTAACACACTAACACACACTAACACACACACTAACACACTAACACACACTAACACACACACACACTAACACACACACACTAACACACACACACTAACACACACTAACACACACACACACTAACACACACACACACTAACACACACTAACACACACTAACACACTAACACACACTAACACACACACTAACACACTAACACACACTAACACACACACACTAACACACACACACACTAACACACTAACACACACACACTAACACACACACACTAACACACACTAACACACACTAACACACACACTAACACACACACTAACACACACACACACTAACACACACACACTAACACACACACACACTAACACACACACTAACACACACACTAACACACACACTAACACACACTAACACACACACTAACACACACACACTAACACACACTAACACACACACTAACACACTAACACACACACACTAACACACACACACTAACACACACACTAACACACACACTAACACACACTAACACACACACTAACACACACTAACACACACACTAACACACTAACACACACTAACACACACACACTAACACACACACACTAACACACACACTAACACACACACACACTAACACACACACACTAACACACACACACACTAACACACACACTAACACACACACTAACACACACACTAACACACACACTAACACACAAACACACACACTAACACACACACACTAACACACACACACTAACACACACACACTAACACACACACTAACACACACACACTAACACACACTAACACACACTAACACACACACTAACACACACACTAACACACACACTAACACACACTAACACACACACTAACACACACTAACACACACTAACACACACACTAACACACACACTAACACACTAACACACACACACTAACACACACACACTAACACACACACACTAACACACACACACTAACACACACACACTAACACACACACTAACACACACACTAACACACACACACTAACACACACACTAACACACACACTAACACACACACACTAACACACACACTAACACACACTAACACACACACTAACACACCCTAACACACACTAACACACACTAACACACACACTAACACACACACACACTAACACACACTAACACACACACTAACACACACACACTAACACACACTCACACACACACACGCGGTGGTCGTTTTGCGCGTCTCACGCGGCTCTCACGACCCCTCTCCCCCCTCTTCCCCTCCCCCTCCCCCATTCTAATTCCTCCATTCATCGGGTCCACACACGCACGCGCACACACACGCGCACACACACACACGCACACACACGCACGCGCACACACAGACGCGCACACACGGACACACACACACACACGCGCACCCACGTGCACACTCAGACACACGCACGCACACTCAGACACACGCACACTCACACACGCACACACCCACGCACACACACACACACGCGCACACACACGCACGTGCACCCACGTGCACACTCACACACACGCATCCCCTACACTACCACCTGTCGCCTCTTAGGCAACGGGCATGTGGGTGCTGTGGAGCCGAGGGGTCTTGGTGATTGTGGTGGTGGTGGTGATGGCTGTTGTCAGAGTGAGTGTGTGTGTGTCTGTGTGTGTCTGTGTGTGTGGGGAGCGGTGGTGCAGCGGTTAGCGCGCTGCGCTACGAACCCGGCGACCCGGGTTCCATTCCCGCTCACGGCCAACACCACCGGTGACGATTGTCTGAACCGGTCCCGGGTCGACTCAACGCCACTGGGGAGACAAAGGCGGCCGGGCCTGGTGGTGCCGGCCTTCACTGGTGCTGCTGCTACTCGCTAACAGCACTTGCCCCTAGAGTTTGTTGAGGCTCTGCGGGGTAATCGTTGTCTTTGTACATGTGCATGTGAATGGCTACGCGCGCATGAATATGTATGCGTGTCCCTTGCCTCGCCTGCGCCTGCGAAACGTCGGGGGCGGGGGGGGTGGCGGCGGCGGTGGGGGAGGAGGGCTCCCAACGCAACGTGTTGCTCATCACACACACAGACACACACACAGACACTCACACACACACACAGACACACACAGAGACACAGACACACACACACACACACAGACAGTGTCTGTGTGTGCCCGTGCGTGTGTGCGTGTGTGTGTGTCCTCAAAGTGCACCTAGCCTGGCACAAGCGCCGTGGTGATGTCAGTACATGAGTGAGTGGGTATATGAGTGAGCGAGTGAGTATATGAGTGAGTACATGAGTGAGTGAGTACATGATTGAGTGAGTACATGAGTGAGTACATGAGTGAGTGGGTGAGTACATGAGTGAGTACATGAGTGAGTGGGTGAGTACATGAGTGAGTGAGTACATGAGTGAGTGGGTGAGTACATGAGTGAGTGAGTACATGAGTGAGTGAGTGAGTATATGAGTGGGTGAGTACATGAGTGAGTATATGAGTGAGTGGGTGAGTTCGTGAGTGAGTACATGAGTGAGTGAGTGAGTTCATGAGTGAGTGAGTACATGAGTGAGTGGGTGTATATATGAGTGAGTGAGTACATGAGTGAGTGAGTACATGAGTGAGTGAGTGTGTACATGAGTGAGTATATGAGTGAGTGTGTACATGAGTGAGTGGGTGTGTACATGAGTGAGTACATGAGTGAGTGAGTGTGTACATGAGTGAGTGAGTGTGTACATGAGTGAGTGAGTGTGTACATGAGTGAGTGTGTACATGAGTGAGTGAGTGTGTACATGAGTGAGTGAGTGTGTACATGAGTGAGTGAGTGTGTACATGAGTGAGTGTGTACATGGGTGGGCAGGGCTCAGCACAGCGAGAGGGAGCGAGGGAGAGAGGAGGGAGGGCGTTTGACCAATGGGAGAGGCGAGAGCGTGGGAGAGAGTGGACGAGAGTGGGAGGGAGAAGGGGAGGGAGAGTGGGAAGGAGAGAGGGAGGGAGGGAGAGTGGGAGGGAGCGTGGGAGGGAGAGAGGGAGGGAGAGTGGGAGGGAGAAGGGGAGGGAGAGAGGGAGGGAGAAGGGGAGGGAGAGCTTACCAGGCACCTGCCTGCCTGCCTGCCCACTACTTAAGGCTGCGTAGGAATGTGATCGCTTTTCTCCAAGACGCGAAGACGTCGACGACGAGGAGGAGGAGGAGGTGGTGGTGGGCAGAGCGCGTGAGTGGAACTCTCCGACCGCGCTCACACAATAGCAGCTGTGTGTGTGAGAGAGATAGTGAGTGAGTGAGAGACAGAGTGTTACATATAGACACGAAGATCCAACAGCAGAGCATTTAACAGACTGTAGGGGCAAGTGCTGTTAGCGAGCGGCAGCGCCTATGAAGGCCGGCACGGCACACGAGGGGGTGGGTGGCCAGCACCACGCCCGACCGCCTTTGTCTCCCCAGTGGTGATGCTTTACGCACAACTACACTAGGTCCTCTTTTGAGGCTGAGTCGACCTAGTGGAGGCCCAGTACCGGTTCAGATAATCGTCACTGGTGGTGTTGGTGGCCGTGAGCGGGAGTTGAACTCGGGTTCGTAGCGCAGCGCTAACCGCTGCGCCACCGCTCCCCGTACATGCATAGACACATAGACACAGGCAGAGAGAGAAAGACACGCAGACAGACACATAGACACACAGGCAGAGAAAGAAAGACACGCTTACATAGACACATAGACAGAGAGAGAAAGACACGCTTACATAGACGACAAGGGACAGTCACAGAAGGACACTTTCCACCCACATACAAAGAGACACATTCACACAAAGATAAATATCCCCCATATAGCCTTAACAGATTGTAGGGGCAAGTGCTGTTAGCGAGCACCTATGAAGGCCGGAACGGTACACGAGAGGGTGGGTGGCCAGCACCACGCCCGACCGCCTTTGTCTCCCTAGTGGCGATGTTTACACACCCGCACCAGGTACTCATTTGAGGCTGAGTCGACCTAGGGGAGGCCCGGAAACGGTTCAGATAATTGTCACTGGTGTTGGCCGTGAGCAGGAATCGAACCCGGGTCGCCACGTTCATAGCGCAGCGTAGCGCTAACCGCTACACTATCGCTCCCCAGACACACACATGCACACACACACATACAAAGAGACACACATTCACACACACACATACAAAGAGACACATTCATACACACACACATTCACACACACACAGACAAAGATCCCCCCTGTATAGCCTGTAACAGACTGTTGGGGCAAGTGCTGTTAGCGAGTAGCAGCGCCTACGAAGGCCACCCAGCGCTGTGGCACGCGAAGGGGGTGGGTGTCCAGCACCACGCCCGGCCGCCTTTGTCTCCCCGGTGGCGACGCTTTAACATACGCAACCGCACCACGTGCTCGTGTTTGAGACCGAGTCGATCAACGGAGAGTCGCTGGGCCGGCTCCCGACCACGATTCGTCACCGGTGTTGTCCGTGAGCGCAGCGCTCCACCTCGCCCGACGTTCACGCGTGCTGGTGGTGCCCGCTCCTCCTGAATCTGCCGCCACCAGAGGTCGGATATCGTCGCCCGGACCGAGCGGAGTCGACGTGGGCCATCTGGGACCTCGCTCAGCCATGCCTCGATCCTTCCTCGTTAAGACGCACGGCTCGGTGAATCGCAGACCCAACTACGGACTCCTGAGCGCCAGATCCGGTAAGCAGCATCATCATCAGCAGGAGCATCATCATCATCAGCAGCAGCATCATCATCAGCATCAGCAGCAGCATCATCAGCAGCAACAGCATAAACAGCATCATCAGCAGCAGTAGCATCATCATCATCAGCAGCAGCATCATCAGCAGCAACAGCATCATCATCGGCATCATGCGCACGTGGTGATGAGCAGGTGCTGGGCAGCCTTCATCCAGCAGTGGATAAATCACGGCTGCTGATGATGATACAAAGATGATGATGATACATAGATGATGATACAAAGATGATGATACAAATATGATGATTGATGATGATGATACAAAGATGATGATGATGATGATACATAGATGATGATGATACATAGATGATGATGATGATGATACATAGATGATGATTATGATGATACAAAGATGATGATGATACAAAGATGATGATGATACAAAGATGATGATTGATGATGATGATACAAAGATGATGATGATACATAGATGATGATGATACATAGATGATGATGATACATGGATGATGATTATGATGATACAAAGATGATGATACAAAGATGATGATACAAATATGATGATTGATGATGATACAAAGATGATGATGATGATGATTATGATGATACAAAGATGATGATGATGATGATGCTTATGATGATACAAAGATGATGATGATCATGATGATACAAAGATGATGATGATACAAAGATGATGATGATGATACAAAGATGATGATGATGATGATACAAAGATGATGATGATGATGATACAAAGATGATGATGATGATGATGATACAAAGATGATGATGATGATGATACAAAGATGATGATGATGATGATGATACAAAGATGATGATGATACAAAGATGATGATGATGATACAAAGATGATGATGATGATGATGATACATAGATGATGATGATGATGCTGATGATACATAGATGATGATGATGCTGATGATACATAGATGATGATGATGCTGATGATACATCGATGATGATGATGATACAAAGATGATGATGATGATGATGATACTAAGATGATGATACAAAGATGATGATGATGCTGATGATACATTGATGATGATGATGATGATACAAAGATGATGATGATGATGATACAAAGATGATGATGATGCCTATGTTCGCATAATGGAGATTTCAAAGTGCGTTGAGTCGTGGCAATTATGAAAATGACAACAGCTGTGTTGATGATGATCCCGATGATGATCACGATGATTACAATCATGATCGTGACAACACTGATGAGTTGGATGACTACGACAATGATGACGATGATGATAACGATGATGATGACGATTGCAACAATAATCGCGGTGACGACAACGATGATGATCGCAATGGTGGCTTGGAGATGTTGACTACCTCGCCTGGTGTACAGGAGGTCGTGGGTTCGATCCCGACCTGACGCCTGCTGCTGTATATTTGGGAGTCTGCGTCTCTCTCTCATCATCATCACCACGGTGGCTATGAGATGTTAACTACCTCGCCTGGTGTACAGGAGGTCGTGGGTTCGATCCCGACCCTGACGCCTGCTGCTGTATATTTGTAAGTTTGTGTGTCTCTCATCATCATCACCACGGTGGCTATGAGATGTTGACTACCTCGCCTGGTGTACAGGAGGTCGTGGGTTCGATCCCGACCCTGACGCCTGCTGCTGTATATTTGGAGTTTGCGTGTCTCTCTCATCATCATCATCACGGTGGCTAGGAGATGTTAACTACCTCGCTTGGTACACAGGAGGTCGTGGGCTCTATCCCGACCCTGACGCCTGCTACTGTATATTTGTAAGTTTGTGTGTCTCTCTCATCATCATCACGGTGGCTAGGAGATGTTAACTACCTCGCTTGGTGCACAGGAGGTCGTGGGCTCTATCCCGACCCTGACGCCTGCTGCTGCTGCTGTATGTTTGGGAGTTTGTGTGTTTGTCTCTCTCCCCGTGGTCGCGTGGATTTTTCCTCCGGGTCCTCCGGTTTTTCCCCTCTACATTTAGAACCAACGTCGCCGCGCTGTTTGAGAGTTATTCGGCTGCTGCTGCTGATGAGACTAAACTTGCGTTGAGCTGTCACCTGTGGTGGCCAGGTCGCTTCGGAAAAAGAAGCATGGCGGCTCAGTTAAGGCCTTCACCTGGTCAAATAAAAAGAAAAAGTTAGTTTATAGTTCATGATGATGCTTTGCGATCATGATTATTGATAAGCTTTATCCAGGAGTGCCTCATTGAATCAACGCTGCTGATGAAACAGTGAAAGTCGAAGCCGGTGCAGAGTTTCTGATTGCGTTGAAACCAACGCTGCTGATGAGATACTGAAAGTCGAAGCCGGTGCAGAGTTTCTGATTGCGTTGAACCAACGCTGCTGATGAGATAATGAAAGTCAAAGCCGGTGCAGAGTTTCTGATTGCGTTGAAACCAACGCTGCTGATGAGACAGTGAAAGTCAAAGCCGGCGCAGAGTTTCTGATTGCGTTGAAATCAACGCTGCTGATGAGACAGTGAAAGTCGAAGCCGGTGGAGAGTTTCTGATTGCGTTGGGCCATTGCTGCTGATGAGACAGTGAAAGTCAAAGCCGGTGCAGAGTTTCTGATTGCGTTGAAACCAACGCTGCTGATGAGATACTGAAAGTCAAAGCCGGTGCAGAGTTTCTGATTGCGTTGAGCCATTGCTGCTGATGAGACAGTGAAAGTCAAAGCCGGTGCAGAGTTTCTGATTGCGTTGAAACCAACGCTGCTGATGAGATACTGAAAGTCAAAGCCGGTGCAGAGTTTCTGATTGCGTTGAAACCAACGCTGCTGATGAGATACTGAAAGTCAAAGCCGGTGCAGAGTTTCTGATTGCGTTGAACCAACGCTGCTGATGAGACAGTGAAAGTCGAAGCCGGTGCAGAGTTTCTGGTAGATTTAGCACGCAGGCTGTCGCGATCAATATCATCCACTCGCCTGTTGCGAGTGGATGATATTGCAGTCAAAGTGAAACTTGCAAGCGACACGCAGAGCACGACGTGATATAATCATTAAATCAATTCGTGTGCAATCTGTAAGGCCGCGGTGACACAGACTTAGTTCATTTAAAAGGTTTATAGTCCCTTGTTCATCACGACGTCCTTTTTACCTCGATGTCTCAACAACAGCGTCACGGAGATCACGTGTTGACGTGACGGTTCTGCCTTTGTAGTGAGGGTTGTGAGTTGACGCCTAGGAGGGGGGAGGAGTCGCCTCGCCCCCCCCTCCCCCGCCATGTGGAGTGACGTCAGCCGCTAATTATTATGAATGGTGGGGGGGGGGGTGTCCATTTGTAAGACGTCACCTCTTCATGATTTATTAATGAATGGGGGGCTGGCCGACGTGGAGTGACGTCACGCGCGGGATACACAGACGTTCTTGGCTCATTAAAGTAGTAAATAACAAAGGGTTTTTTGGGTTAGATCGAATACGTAAATGTTGTGTCGTTAAAGTCGCCACCACCCGACACAGCCAACTAGTAAGGGTTGTCACGTGAACCGAACGTGGCCAATTCGTCACTAGTACAGCACTAGTGTGTAGTGTAGTGTATAGTAGTGTATAGTAGTGTATAGTGTAGTGTATATAGTAGTGTAGTGTATATTAGTGTATAGTGTAGTGTATAGTGTAGTGTATAGTAGTGTATAGTGTAGTGTATAGTAGTGCGTAGTGTATAGTATAGTGTTTAGTAGTGCATAGTGTAGTGTGTAGTGTATAGTGTAGTGTATAGTAGTGTAGTGTATAGTAGTGTAGTGTATGGTGTAGTGTGTAGTGTATAGTGTAGTGTATAATGTAGTGTATAGTGTAGTGTGTAGTGTTTAGTGTAGGGTATAGTGTAGTGTATAGTGTAGTGTATAGTGTAGTGTATAGTGTAGTGTACTAGTACACCACACCGGTTGTGTGTTGGAGAGCCCAGCCACAACATTTACAATCCGAGTACGACGTTTCGCCAGTAATTGCAACCAGCTTCATCAGGCAACAGCCAGACTTGCGGAGAAGTCCACCAGTTTCATTCCTCATATAGAGGCGTAGATGTGGTGACCACGCATAGTGGGGGGTGGGGGGGGATTACAGAGTCAACGTACATGATGCATCCGCATGATGCGAGCCCTTTTATATTGTCCTTCCTGTCCCATTGTTTGTATTAAAATAGCCGTACCAATAAAAACACACACACACACACAGACTGCGTTTACAGAAAGAAAACGCACACTGACGCCGATCTGAATGCAGAGTCACACCATCACCCCGCAACAGAAATCTGCTCTTATCAAGAACGCTCATTCATCGAGCTGAGAAAGCGTCAGATGGTGACGGTCTGAGAAGTGAAATTTCAACATGTTCAAGAAGCGCTGCCAATGAACGGGTACAATGATGCACAAATCAACAGGGCGTTGAATGCCAAAACCAAATAACATTACACGAACATTGAAACTGCCCGAGTAATTAAAAGGATCAAAATACCGTACATTGCGGGAGTAACTGATAAACCAGCCAGATGTTTGGAAAAACAAAACATCCGAGTCAGATTTGGCACGGTACATAAAATACAGAAATTAATATCTGGTACAAACGATGTATTACCGAAGCTATCAACGGAAGGTGTGCACAGGATTAACTGCACGTGTGGCAAATGTTACGTTGGGCAAAGAGGACGAATGATCAGCACGAGACTAAAAGAAGGTCAGAGAAATATGAAATACTCCCAAATACAACTGTCAGCAGTAGCAGAACACGCGTGTGAGTGCCACATCCGCCGTCGTATTAATCGGGGCGCCCGCCCGATTCGAACCGCGATCCTCCTGCAACGACGGGCGGAGCGAATAAGCTACAGAGCACTGAGGCGCGGTGATGGTTGTGGTGCCAACAGTGATGCTGCCGCTGATGATGATGATGGCGCTGATGATGATGGCACTGATGATGATGATGGCGCTGATGATGATGATGGCGCTGATGATGATGATGGCGCTGATGATGATGATGGCGCTGATGATGATGATGGCGCTGATGATGATGGCACTGATGGTGACGCTACCAATGATGGTGATGCCGCTGATGATGATGATGGCGCTGATGATGATGATGGCGCTGATGATGATGGCACTGATGATGATGATGGCGCTGATGATGATGATGGCGCTGATGATGATGATGATGGCGCTGATGATGATGGCACTGATGGTGACGCTACCAATGATGGTGATGCCGCTGATGATGATGATGGTGGTGGTGGTGACCCTACCAATGATGATCTTCTTACTGATGATGATGATGATGATAATGGCACTGATCTTGATGGCACTGATCATGACGCTACCAATGAAGATAATGATGCTGATGATGGTGGCCCTGATGATGATGACGATGATGATTACGATGGCGGTGGTGACGCTACCAATGATGATAATGATGCTGATGATGATGGCCCTGATGATGATGATGACGACGATGGCACTGATGATTACGATGGCGGTGGTGACGCTACCAATGATGATGATGATGCTGATGATGATGGCCCTGATGATGATGACGACGACGATGCCCCCCTCCCCCCTCACCCCACCCCTCCCCCAGTGGTCATCTCGCCCTTCTTCTCCGACCATGCCTTCATCGCTCGGCCCGAGGTGCTGAGCGCCAGCGCTCACGCGCCTGCGGGGGCCGCCCTCGAGGCCGCGGCGGGGGCCTCCCCACGGGTCACGTGGCGCCGCCGCGAGGCCATCCGTGGAGGAGGGGCAGGGGGGGGCAGGCGACGTGGGGCAGCGAGACGGCGAGGAGGAGGAGGAGGTGGGAAAGGAGGAGAATTTGGAACACGACTTCTGGTCGTTGTGTCGACGTCACCAGTTGGAGTTCCACCGCCGCCACAGCAACCACCACCACAACCACCACAACCACCACCACCACCACCAAACGCTGCTGGATACCGGCTTCGCAAGCACACGCACCACGGAGGCAGCAGCAGCAGCAGCAGCAGCAGCAAGCGCCCGCGTGTTGATGGTGGTGTTGATGGTGGTGATGGTGGTGGTGATGGTGGTGATGGTGGTGGTGATGACGGCGGTGCTGATGGTACTGTAGCCGGCTACGGCATTCACAACGATACCAGTAATGGTTGTGACTACATTGACCATCACGAGGTGGAGGAGGAGGAGGAGGAGGATGTTGACTATGATGATGATGACGTTGGTGATGGTGAGGATGATGAGGATGACGAGGAGTCTCTCTGGAGGAGGCACCACGTGGCGAGTCCTGACGGCAGCGTCGCGTGCTGCATCATCCAGAGCGCGAGACGAGACGTCAACAACAACAACGCCATCATCATCAACAACAACAGCAACAGCAGCAGCATCACCAACATGAAGAAGGACACGTCTAGAATCCGATCGCGGCTAACGGCACCGACTGAGACGTCGCTGTCGCTTTGCGGTGAAGATGGCCCGGAGACGGAGCAGCAGAACGATGGTGGGGGTGGTGATGGTGGGGGTGGTGATGGTGGGGGTGGTGATGGTGGGGGTGGTGATGGTGGGGGTGGTGATGGCGGGGGTGGTGATGGCGGGGGTGGTGATGGCGGCAGTGGAGTCAACGGACCCGCGGAATGCCCCGTGTCCGACGTCCAACCGAGGGTCCAGTGCACAAGGTGCGGGGACTCGTTCCTGTCCGCGTCCGCCCTGGCGAGGCACGGGCGATGCCCTCCGGTCGCAGGCTCCACATCGGCCTCGCTCCATCGTCAAGCCTCGCCGCATCTGCAACCACCACCACCACCAGCACCACCAGCACCACCAGCAGCAGCAGCAGCAGCACCACCACCGCCACCACCGCTACCACCGCTACCACCGCCACCGCCATCGGCGTCGTCTTCATCGTTGACGACTCGCAAGGCGTTCACTTGCAAGTTCTGCGCCAAGGAATACGTGAGCCTGGGAGCCCTCAAGATGCACATCCGCACACACACGCTGCCGTGCGTGTGTAAGATCTGTGGCAAGGCGTTCTCCCGGCCCTGGCTGCTGCAGGGGCACGTGCGTACCCACACTGGTGAGTCCCCTCGTGCGTCGAGAACATTTGTGTTTGTGTTGTTGGCAGGCGTAAGGCGGCACCTACAAACGCTGCTTGCGCTGTGTGGCTCGCTGTGTGTGTGTGTGTGCGTGTTTATGGGGAGCGGTGGTGCAGCGGTTAGCGCTACGCTGCGCTATGAACCCGGCGACCCGGGTTCGAGTTCCCGCTCACGGCCAACACCACCAGTGACGATTATCTGAACCGGTCCCGGGCCTCCCTCTAGGTCGACTCAGCCTCAAATGAGTACCTGGTGCGGTGTGTAAACATTGCCACTAGGGAGACAAAGGCGGTCGGGCGTGGTGCTGGCCACCCACCCCCTCGTGTGCCGTTCCGGCCTTCATAGGTGCTGCTCGCTAACAGCACTTGCCCCTACAGTCTGTTAAGGCTATATGGGGGATCTTTGTGTGTGTGGGTCATCTATCATTCACGATTCATCATGATTCATCACGATTCATCATCATCCATCATCATTCATCATCGTCTATCACTGTCGTCGTTATCGCGTGGAAATGTACAGCGGCCGAAGGCTCTGAACCCGTGGTGACGTTGATTCTTAAATGCGGAGGGGGAAAAGACCATGGAGGAGCCGGAGACAAATCCACGCGGCCACGGGGAGAGAGAGAGACACGCAAACTCCCAAATATACAGCAGCAGCAGGCGTCGTCAGGTTCGGGATCGAACCCACGACCTCCTGTACACTAGGCGAGGTAGTCAACATCTCCCAGCCACACTGATGATGATGAGAGAGAGAGACACGCAAACTCCCAAATATACAGCAGCAGGCGTCGTCAGGTTCGGGATCGAACCCACGACCTCCTGTACACCAGGCGAGGTAGTTAACATCTCCTAGCCACTGTGACGATGATGTGAGTCACGCGCACCGCAAAGGCAAAGCCCCCCCCCCCTCCCGTATAGCTCTTACAGACTGTCGGGGCAAGTGCTGGTAGCGAGCAGCACCTATGAAGGCCGGCACGTCACACGAGGGGGTGGGTGGCCAGCACCACGCCTCGACCGCCTTTGTCTCCCCAGTGGCGATGTTTACTACACACCGCACCAGGTACTCATTTGAGGCTGAGTCGACCTTGGGGAGGCCCAGGACCGACTGAGATAATTGACACTGCTGTTGGTGCCCGTGAGCGGAAAATCAAACCCGGGTCGCCGGGTTCGTAGCGCAGCGTAGCGCTAACCACTACACTACCGCTCTCCACACACACACAGACACACACACAGACAGTGACACACACACACACGTGTGTGTCTGAGTAAGCAGCTGCTGTTTGGCCGGATAGAGGGGAGCTAAACGGGCGCGGCAGGGGCTGGAGAAGAGACGGAGTGAGTGAATGATGGCACGGGTTAGAGTAGAGAAGGGCTGACGAGTGAGTGGGTGGGAGAGTGAGTGACACGGGCTAGAGAAGAGATGGAGTTATGTGGTACAGGAGGATGTGGAGCTGAGTGGACTTGCCGATGAGCGGTACCAGCGGTGTCAAGATCGACCTCTGTGGAGGAGGAGGCTCGTGAAGGACGCTGCTGCTGCTGCTGGGCAGTTGGAGGCAGTCGCCCTACAGCAACAACGGAGGGCGGAGGAGCGACGCTCACAACAACGAGCGGAGCCCCGGGCGGATAAAACGCAGCGATTTGGCACAGTAGGGGGTTACAGCTGGTGGTGCATCTATCGGTCATCTCAGTCGGTCAACCCATGGCACCTGCTGGGTCTGTCCAGAGACCTCCTCCAGCCAGCAGCGAGCCTTCCACAATACACGTGGCCGCAGTGCACCTAGCCTGGCACAAGCTCCGTGGTTACGTCAGGGCCACTTATTGACGAATGGCGGCTGCTGTTTTTGTTGTTTAACATCGGGAGTGGTGGTGCAACGGTTAGCGCAGCACTTCGTGATCCGAAATGCGTTTCCCACTCACGGCCACCAACAGTGGCACATATCTGAACTGGTGCTCTATGCAAGTCTGTGGATCTAAATGACAGTCTGTGGGTCTCTTTGAGAGTCTGTGGGTCTCTGTGAGATTCTGTGGGTCTCTATGACAGTCTGTGGGTCTCTATGATAGTCTGTGGGTCTCTATGATAGTCTGTGGGTCTTTATGAGAGTCTGTGGGTCTCTATGATAGCCTGTGGGTCTCTATGAGAGTCTGTGGGTCTCTGAGAGTCTGTGGGTTTCTATGAGAGTCTGTGGGTCTCTATGACAGTCTGTGGGTCTCTATAACAGTCTGTGGGTCTCTATGAGAGTCTGTGGGTCTCTATGATAGTCTGTGGGTCTCAATGACAGTGTGTGGGTCTCTATCATAGTCTGTGGGTCTCTATGAGAGTCTGTGGGTCTCTATGAGAGTATGTGGGTCTCTATGACAGTCTGTGGGTCTCTAGGGGAGTCTGTGGGTCTCTATGAGAGTATCTGGGTCTCTGTGACAGTCTGTGGGTCTCTATGAGAGTCTGTAGGTCTCTATGACAGTCTGTGGGTCTCTATGAGAGTCTGTGGGTCTCTATCACAGTCTATGGGTCTCTATGAGACTCTGTCGGTCTCTATGACAGTCTGTGGGTCTCTTTGACAGTCTGTGGGTCTGTGCGATCATCTGTGTGATCATCTGTGGGTCTCCATGACAGTCTGTGGGTCTCTATGAGAGTCTGTGGGTCTCTATGAGAGTCTGTGGGCCTCTATGAGAGTCTGTGGGTCTCCATGACAGTCTGTGGGTCTCTATGACAGTCTGTGGGTCTCTATGAGAGTCTGTGGGTCTCTATGAGAGTCTGTGGGTCTCTATGCGAGTCTGTGGGTCTCTATGATAGTCTGTGGGTCTCTATGTGAGTCTGTGGGTCTCAATGAGAGTCTGTGGGTCTCTATGATAGTCTGTGGGTCTCTATGATAGTCTGTAGGTCTCTATGAGAGTCTGTGGGTCTCAATGAGAGTCTGTGGGTCTCTATGAGAGTATCTGGGTCTCTATGCCAATCTGTGGGTCTCTGTGAGAGTTTGTGGGTCTCTATGAGAGTCTGTGGGTCTCTATGAGAGTTTGTGGGTCTCTATGAGAGTCTGTGGGTCTCTATGAGAGTCTGTGGGTCTCCATGAGAGTCTGTGGGTCTCTATGATAGTCTGTGGGTCTCTATGATAGTCTGTGGGTCTCTATGCGAGTTTATGGGTCTCTATGCGAGTCTGTGGGTCTCTATGAGAGTCTGTGGGTCTCTATGATAGTCTGTGGGTCACTATGACAGTCTGTGGGTTTCTATGAGAGTCTGTGGGTCTCTATGAGAATATGTGGGTCTCTATGACAGTCTGTGGGTCACTATTAGAGTCTGTGGGTCTCTATGAGAGTCTGTGGGTCTCTATGAGAGTCTGTGGGTCTCTATGAGAGTCTGTGGGTCTCTATGACAGTCTGTGGGTCTCTATGAGAGTCTGTGGGTCTCTATGACAATCTGTGGCTCTCTATGATAGTCTGTGGGTCTCTAATGAGAGTCTGTGGGTCTCTATGATAGTCTGTGGGTCTCAATGACAGTGTGTGGGTCTCTATGAGAGTCTGTGGGTCTCTATGAGAGTCTGTGGGTCTCTATGAGAGTCTGTGGGTCTCTATGACAGTCTGTGGGTCTCTATGAGAGTCTGTGGGTCTCTATGAGAGTGTGTGGGTCTTATGAGAGTCTGTGGGTCTTTATGAGAGTCTGTGGGTCTCTATGAGAGTCTGTGGGTCTCTATGAGAGTCTGTGGATCTCTACGAGAGTCTGTGGTTCTCTTCGATAGTCTGTGGGCTTTTAGGGGAGTCTGTGGGTCTCTATGAGAGTATCTGGGTCTCTATGACAGTGTGTGGGTCTCTATGAGAGTCTGTGGGTCTCTATGAGAGTCTGTGGATCTCTGAGAGTCTGTAGGTCTCTCTGACAATCTGTGGGTCTCTGAGAGTCTGTGGGTCTCTATGACAGTCTGTGGGTCTCTATGACAGTCTGTGGGTCTCTATGACGGTCTGTGGGTCTCTATGACAGTCTGTGGGTCTCTTTGAGAGTCTGTGGGTCTCTATGCGAGTCTGTGGAACTCTATGAGAGTATCTGGGTCTCTATGACAGTTTGTGGGTCTCTATGGCAGTCTGTGGGTCTCTATGTGAGTCTATGGGTCTCTATGAGAGTATCTGGGTCTCTATGCGAGTCGATGGGTCTCTATACGTGGCTGTGGATCTGTATGGGAGTCTATGGGTCTCTATGAGAGTCTGTGGGTCGCTATGACAGTCTGTGGGTCTCTAGGGGAGTCTGTGGGTCTCTATGAGAGTCTGTGGATCTCTATGAGAGTCTGTGGGTCTCTATGATAGTCTGTGAGTTTCTATGAGAGTCTGTGGGTCTCTATGAGAGTGTCTGGGTCTCTATGACAATCTGTGCGTCTCTATGAGAGTCTGTGGGTCTCTATGACAGTTTGTGGGTCTCTATGAGAGTCTGTGGGTATCTTTGAGAGTCTGTGGGTCTCTGTGGTAGTCTGTGGGTCTCTATGAGAGTCTGTGGGTCTCTATGTGAGTCTGTGGGTCTCTATGTGAGTATGTGGGTCTCTATGATAGTCTGTGGGTATCTATGAGAGTCTGTGGGTCTCTATGAGAGTCTGTGGGTCTCTATGTGAGTCTGTGGGTCTCTATGATAGTCTGTGGGTCTCTTTGAGAGTCTGTGGGTCTCTATGATAGTCTGTGGGTCTCCATTATCGTCTGTGGGTTTCTGTGAGAGTCTGTGGATTTGTATGACATTCTGTGGGTCTCCATGAGAGTCTGTGAGTCTCTATGACAGTCTGTGGGTCTCTATGAGAGTCTGTGGGTCTCTATGATAGTCTGTGGGTCTCCATTATCGTCTGTGGGTTTCTGTGAGAGTCTGTGGATTTTTATGACATTCTGTGGGTCTCCATGAGAGTCTGTGAGTGGAACTCTATGAGAGTATCTGGGTCTCTATGACAGTTTGTGGGTCTCTATGGCAGTCTGTGGGTCTCTATGTGAGTCTATGGGTCTCTATGAGAGTATCTGGGTCT